TACTGCTCTCTCTTCTCTTTCTCCTCTCTTCTCTATACCTTTTCTTCTATTTCCGAACCTGAAATCCATTAGGGTTCAAGACTGATAGCAGTCCTGAACATCTACTCATATCTACTTAAAAGCTGTGTTTATATGCTCCTATGCATTCAAAGATTTAAACTTTGAGTGTAGCAAAAACATCAAAATGGGTTTGGACAGAGACATGTCCATAAAATGAGTGTGGCACTAATGTGTATGCTGAGATGGATGAGTGGAAAAATGTATTGGTTTGGTCACATGCATAGAAGACCATCGGCAGCACCTGTAAGTAGAAGTGATCTGTTGCATGCAAGCTTCAAAATATTGAAATGTATTGGTGTGTATCATACAATACATATCGTTTTCAGGCTTACTGATATATTATGTATAAACATTTGATAGATTTTAGTTGTTTTAAATGATAGTACTTGATAGGACGTTTCTACTGACGAGATCAGAACAAAATAATAAAAACCAATAGAGTTTTGGTTGAAGGAAACTCTTGATATGCAAATTTTTTGTATCGAGAGACTTTCCATGTCATATCTGTCCAAACTTGGAGAATAGTTTTTCTTAGGTTTCAGATATCTCCATTCTGATCCTTTGTCTGCCATATGTCTGGCCAATTCTACTGGGAAGATGTTGTTCTTAATCTAGATCTTTTAATTAATTAATTAAGAGAAGTAAAGAAGGATCACCAAAGTTTTTAAGTCCACTATAAGAGAGCGGAATCATCAATGATCCAAATAAAGATACTCTTTTTTGTCCGACATCCATTTTATTCTTGCTTCTGTGAATCTTGTTAATTAGTGTCTGGATATGGTGTTCTTGTTGTTTCTCTCAATAACATACAATGTCAAACATTATACATGCTTTTGACTATAATTTTCTTGATTAACGCATAGGGGATTTAACTTTGCTATTATCCATAACTTGATCATTTTAACTTGTCATTGTTATCAGTGGCTGGCATATACGTTGCATGGATTCGGGTTCTATGCATCATTTCTGTGGAGCTGATGATTCGTGTATTAGTTGGGGCTATGCTCATTGTGGAGAGCTAGGATATGGTCCTACTGGACCAAAGTTAGTCTCTATTATGAGTATTTTGATGACTATACTGATATTCTATTCATTTCTTTCTGTTACTTCTCTTCTACGACCACTCTCAACTATTATATTAATTCATGCTTGTGCTGTTTTAACACAATAGGTCTTCTGCAATTCCCAAGAAAGTTGACATCCTAGAGGGTATGCATGTTATTGGGTATGTATTGTTGACACTGCTCCGTTTTTGTCCAAAATATTCCATGTTACAAACCTATTGACACAATTTTATTGCGTAATTTCTTTTAGTGTTTCCTGTGGTTTGGGCCATTCCATGGTTATTGTTGATAGAACAAATGTTGGTGACAGACTTGAAGAGGTAACTGGGACAAACATTTGTGCATAGTTTTTTTTTTTGGTAAAGCACATTTGTGCATAGTTTATTTATGGCTTTTAGTCTTAAGACGAACATGGAATGGGTGCATTTCCAATGTTGAATTCTATTTTCTTATAGGAGGTAAGGCTGTAAGTCTCATGGAGCCTCCTCAGCTGACTTTGTTTTTATAGCGCCACAAACCTACTTCATTATTGAAAAGGCAAACCCAAATAGGGTTATTGTAGACTTCATATCAAGAATGGAGAACCTCATCAGATTGGCTATTTGTTTGGATTGAGCAATCACAATGCATGACCATGAGAGTGAAAGATTTGGCCTCACATGTGTATGCACAAGGAGACAATTCAAGTCATAGTTGAGGAGATGCATATCTAGCCCATGCAAGCAATCTTGTTATAACTCTCAATCTAAGAAAATGGTTTAGGTTCCTCTTTATTTTATTTATTATTTATTAATAGATGATTTTCCCATCCAAGCAACTGTATCTTAGGTATATGTGGGCATCTGGGTATCATAGTATAGGAATTTTCTGTTGCTGGGTTGTTGTCTTGTTGGTTGATGTTCCTGGGCCCCAAGACTTGATGTCCTTTATTATTAATGCATTTTCTCGGTTTACTGGTATTGATCTTGTTGTGGTTAATTTCTATTTTTAGTACTTCTTTCTGATTCTCTCCTTTTCTGGCAGCTCAATGTTTATGATGGAAAAGCTTCCAGTGAAGGTATGTTTGCATGTCATTAAAAATTTCCACCCTGAATTCTCTGATTGGTTCTGTAAATTATCAAAGATTAATGAAATACTAGATGGAGCTCAAAAAAGTGATACTTGTAATCTAAAGTTGACTGAGAAGTCTTAAATCTGAAGGTTATAAAAAGTTTGAGGATGAGTCATCTTGATCATATAAATTTGAACTGGTACATTTTAAGTTTTTAACACGTAGCTCATCAACTCTTTTTTTTTCTTTTTGCATCTGAATGAGAAAATATAATGAATTAGATGGTTTAAGTTGTTAATTTGGTTTCTTAGACAATGATGAACTTTTTTGTATTTGAAGGAAGTACTAGAATTTCCTATTACAGGAATTTGGGAATCTTCTCATAGAAATCTTAGTATTGCTGCAGGAGGTGGTGAGCCTGAGAGCACAAGTCCAGCTACTAAGAAAACTACTAAGAAGGGTGACAGTGGAACTTCTACAAACTCTAAGAAAAGGAAGAAGTCTAAGGATTCATCAGATTCATCAGATGAGGATGCAAACAATGATGACAGTGAAGGCAGTGAGGTGGATGCAAATGGCCAAACAGAAAAGAAGGGAAAACGGGGTGGAAAAACTTCTGGTAGATCCCAAGGTAGGGGCACTAAAGGACTTGCAGCAGATAAGAAAGGCACAGGTCGTGGCCGGGGAAGGCCTCCTGCTGATGAGAAGAAAAGCTCTCAGCGAGGTCGAGGGAAGAGCAAAGCTGGGAAAAGAGGGAGGCCCAGCAAGTGATGATATATTTTCCAACTTCAAATCAGAAATTTGTTTTCCAATGGACAGAAGAATTTACTATTTTCTCCATTGGCTATTGTCTGATTTTTCCATTCCTTTTATTCCGTTGTAGTTGACATTGATAATTTCCTTGAACAAAATTTAGGTCTTAACCCCATTGTCAAGGGAGGGGAATGTGGAGCAAAAGCGTCTAGTGGGATATGTATTTTTAATCGTGAACCTGTTTTTTCAATGTCAAAGCCAACCGAGTTCACATCTGCGCCCCACAATGTCTCCCAGCGCATCCCCGCCGTGTATTGGGAACATCTCCTGATGATAATATCAGACCCGATGATGATGTTCCCAATACAATGTGGGGGATGCGCTGTGGGACGTTGTGGGGCGCAGATCCGAACTCGTCAACACCCTCTGTTCTCTATATGATATTTTATGGTCATCATTTCTTGTTACAAAATGGTCGATGCTATCATCCCAGTGGGCATTTCAGATGATGCGTTGCCCTAAATCTAGTCTTGTTGGATGATTTTGGCAATTTGTTCTCCTACGTGGCATTGCTGGGAATTGGGATCAAAGACTTGGTTGGATTACTGTGTTCTTGGTAGTTTGGATTTAGTGCACTCGCTTAAAATCGACACAAGTCCAAGAAAAAAGTCATGACAAGAATGAGCTTGGTTAGAAATCTAGTCAGTCGTTTGATTCACCTTTGATGATGACAAGCTTCGAATCACCTTTGATGATGACTTCTGAACCTCCGAACTTGGCAGCCAAATTGTGAGTTTCCCAAGTTACCCAAGCCTCTGCAATGTTGATGGTAGCCACACCCAAATAGTAGCCATTGTAATCAATAATATCTCCCCTGAACCATTTCTAAATTTATCTTGATCTCCCCCTTGATAAGCCTTGAAGCATCAAAATTTATCTTGATCTCCCCCTCGGGCGGACACCACATTTCTTAGAGTTTTCTCCTTGCCTCCTCTATTTGGCTCCTCGCTCAAATCTTGATACTCTGCGAATGCATTTAGAATATTTTATTATTCCTATTCTGTCAATGAACCACAGGAGAAATACTATCTTTGAATTATTCTTATTTTTCTTCCTGAATTTTAGTCCACCGCCCCTTCAGGTCATTGACGGGGCCCATAATGCTATTATTTACCGCTGACCAGACTTGGGAAGTCACACTACAGCCTCTAAAGACATGATCAACATCTTTTTCTCCACAGAAACAACAACCCCCGCTAACATTAAAACCTCTGTTTCTTAAATTAACTTTTGAGTTTTGATGGAAGTTTGTCATTTAGAAGTATGAACAAAAAGACCTTCAGTTTAGGTTGTCACTTTAGGTTCCAAACTAGAGATCTCCAGTTGAAGGTCACCTCTCTAGTAATCAACGATTTACAAATTACCTTGTAAGCTGATCTAATTTAATAGCGAAACCACCACTTGGATCGTATCTCCACATTATCTTGTCCTCTTTTTCCATAGTTGGGATAAAAAGAGGTTTAATCTTGAACTAGTCATTTGGGGATATCACTTAATTTTTTCCTCCCTCCAAACTTTCCTCTCATGATCAATGAAATCCCCAACCCTCAAATTATCATCCTTATGATAGGAATCATCATAAGATCCAGCAAGAGGTTCTTCCCCCACCCACCCTATCATTCCAAAAGTTAATATACTCTCCATTACCACTGATCCACCTTAGACCTTTACTTAAAAACTCCCTCAAATTGATGATCCCCCTCCAAGCCCCCCC